AGTTAAAGGAAAGGCCAAAAAGAAAAATAAGAACAAAGATTAAAAACAAATGTCAAAGTCCATTTTCTTTAATATATAAGAAGCTCCTTTCTTTCAGTAAAGCAGGCAGAAGACATGCATGGCCATTCAAAAAAGGAATGCAGCTAACTACAAACCTACAAAAAGATGCTAAGGCACACTCATAATTTAATCTCTGCAAATGAAAGGAACAAAATCCATTAATCATATCTTGGGCGAAATGAGCTTATAAAAACCACGTTTGGCAAGAGCGTCAGTTATGGGAGATATATTTCTGATAACTTGTTTATTTATTTATTTATTTATTTTTGGTGATAGGAATCCCACTATGTTTCTAGGCTGGCCTCAATTCCTGGGCTCAAGTGATCCTTCTTCTTCAGCCTCTTAAGCGGTTGGAATTACTAGTATGAGTGATTGTGTGTGTCTGAGAACTTTTTAAAGGGCAAATTTGTAATATCTGTGCAATAGAAAGGCATATATTTTTTAACCCTATAAATAAATGCATGGTTAGGAATTTACCACTATTGATTATATTTGAAATCATTTGTCAACACACATGTGTATTTCTGTACAATAATCTATAATAACAAATATTGGGAACTACTTAAGTGTCAACATTGATTACATGAATAGTGATAATCTGTATAAATTGAACACCGTGAGTTTAATTCAAAAGGATGAGGCCAATCTGAATATGATGATTTAAAAATATCTCTGTGATATGTTAGAAAAACAAAGTTCAAGACAGTGTATGTATGAGTCTTCCATTTGTATAAGTAAAATAATAACCCAGATGTCCTATGTATACTATATGCCAAGATTTATGCAATTTTATCAATATAACATCAAAACGACCCCCATTCTCCCCATACTCTTGGTTATAAGGGAATGTAATGTTTTCAAAGTTATCAAGTGGTCGAATCTATTCATTTGAATTGAGTTTAAGTCTCAGTATGTAATCATTAGGGTTGTTGGGAGCAACTGCTTCGGAAAAGGAATGTCCCTCTAGTTCAATAAATTGCCTCTGCAGAAAGAATATGGATATAACCTATGCAGAGAGTCATATAAAAATGAGCTTCTTTTTTCTTAAAATCTTATTTACATATCTGTTGTAGTTTATTAAAAAAAGAACACACATTTGTGCCTTTCCTATTTAAAAGAAATAATTCTTCATTAATTTGGTTTAAATTTAGCTTGTAACAGTTTAAGGTGTTCCAACAGCCACACAGGGCAAGGTGCCGAAGGATGGGAGAGGCTGGGCTCTCACTCTCAGGGCAAAGCACGGTGTTCTGGGGAACTACATGGGTTCCTTGCCTAAGGCACTAGATGTCTTTTTTTATTCTTCTTGAGATCATGCATTTGATTTAGGGTATCAAATAAGGCACATGGCTTTGCCACAAAGTACTTCAGCAGCTCAGCAACACTTACAACACATCTTAAACCCAAAGGGCAATTGTTTCTCGCCTTTTTTCCTCTTTATGCATAATTCATACAAGATTATTTGTCTGTTTATCATACTACTCTATGATCTTACTGAGAGCATTAAACTCTTCCAACCACTGATTCAGGAATAATCTTTTGCTTTTCAACATAATCAATTCATTTTTTTTCCTTTGAAAAATCTCATAAATTTGAAGGCTGAAATATCCTTGTTAAGAGAGTGTCATAATAATTGTGCATAGTAGTGGAATGTGAGTATGTAACCCCTCAGATGAATTTGCAACTAAAAGTAAAGAAGATTTTATTTTTCTAGTACTCATAAGTTAAACTTTTGCAGTAACTAGGAAGGTACTATGGGATGACATAGATTAGTTAGGGTATGGGCTGAACTGTGGCAACAAAGGCCCCCAAGTGGATGGGGTCAGACCGAAGGGCACATCTTTCCTTTTTCAGTCAGCAGCTCAGGGAGGCAGGTGGGCTGCACAGCGTGAAGTGCAGTCAGTCAAGGTCTCATGCTGACAGGTCTGCTCTTTTGTCCCCTAAATGGGTCATCAAAGTTGTTGCAGCCATTTTCAGCCAGAAGAAAAAGGAAAGAGGGGAAGAAAAACAATTTTTCCTTGAAGGCAAGAGATGCAGGAATCACTCATTCCTCTTCCATGCACAGTCCACTAGTAAGAACTTGGATACACACAGTCAGTTTTACTTTTTGTTTTGTTTTTGCTGTGTTGAGTGTCAAATCCAGAGCCTTACACTTGCTAGGAAAGTGTTCTACTTTTGAGCTATCCCAGGCCTAGATAGTTATACTTCTGCAGAAAGCTGAGAAGTAATGTTTTCATCTGGCTGAATATATTCCTAAATGAGATCTTATTACCATGAAAAAAATGGGGAGAAGGGATTTTGATGGCAACTGTCTATAACATCTACCTTTAATTAATTTACAATTTAAAAATTTGTTTTATAATTGCATATGAATTCTAAAGACATAAAACCAATAATGCATAACTCAAAATGACTGTAATATAAATTAAGATGAATTTTAGCTGCAAGCATTTATACTATGACTTTGTTGTTGAGTAATTGAAATTGAAACAGTCAGGAGTCAACAATTCAATCCAAGACATTTACAGGACTTATATGATAATTCACATTATCCCTCTTCATTATCAGAATTCTAGAGCTGAAAATCATATTGTTTTAAACTACATGTACTTTGGACAATAATGTCCATCACATTCTACCATCCTTGCTAACCTCTTGCTCTCTCCTTTCCCCTCCAATCCCTCTGCCCTATCTAGAGTTTATCTATTCCTCTCATGCTCCTCCTCCCTACCCCACTATGAATCAGCCTCCTTATATCAGAGAAAACATTCAGTAATTCTTTTTGGGGGGATTGGCTAACGTCACTTAGCATTATCTTCTCCAATGCCATCCATTTACCAGCAAATGCTATGATTTTATTCTCTTTTATTGCCACATTTTTTTTGGTATCCATTCATCTATTGAAGGGCATCTGGGTTGGTTCCACAGTTTAGCTATTGTGAATTGTGCTGCTATAAACATTGATGTGGCTGTGTCCCTGTAGTATGCTGTTTTTAAGACCTTTGGGTATAGACCGAGGAGAGGGATAGCTGGGACAAATGGTGGTTCTATTCCCAGTTTTTCAAGGAATCTCCATACTACTTTCCATATTGGCTGCACCAATTTGCAGTTCCACCAGCAATGTATGAGCGTACCATTTCCAACACATCCTTACCAACATTTATTGTTGTTTGTCTTCATAATAGCTGCCATTCTGACTGGAGTGAGATGATATCTTAAGAGTGATTTTGATTTGCATTTCTCTAATTGCTAGTAATGATGAACATTTTTTCATATATTTGATGATTGATTGTATATCCTCTTCTTAGAAGTATCTTTTCAGTTCCTTGGCCCATTTATTGATTGGGTTATTTGGTTTTTTGGTGCTTAGCTTTTTGAGTTCTTTATATACCCTAGAGATTAGTGCTCTATCTGATGTGTAAGGGATAAAGATTTGCTCCCAAGATGTAGGCTCTCTATTCACCACACAGATTGTTTCTTTTGCTGAGAAGAAACTTTTTAGTTTAAATCCATACCATTTATTGATTCTTGATTTTAATTCTTATGCCACAGGTGTCTTATTAAGGAAGTTGGGGCCTAATCCCACATGATAGAGATTAGGGCCTACTTTTTCTTCTATTAGATGCAGGGTTTCTGGTTATATTCCTGATCCATTTTGAGTTGAGTTTTGTGCATGGTGAGAGATAGGGGTTTAATTTCATTTTGCTACATATGGATTTCCAGTTTTCCCAGCACCATTTGTTGAAGAGGCTACCTTTTCTCTGTTCTTGACACCTTTGTCTAATATAAGATAATTGTAGTTCTGTGGGTTAGTCTCTGTGTCCTCTATTCTGTACCATTGGTCTACCAGTCAGTTTTGGTGCCAATACCATGCTGTTTTTGTTACTATTCCTCTGTAGTATAGTTTAAGGTCTGGTATAGTGATGTCACCTGCTTCACTCTTCTTGCTAAGGATTGCTTTAGCTATTCTGGGTCTCTTATTTTTCCAGATGAATTTCATGATTGATTTTTCTATTTCTTTGAGGAATGTCATTGGGATTTTGATCAGAATTGCATTAAATCTGTATAGTACTTTTGGAAGTATGGTCATTTTAATAATATTAATTCTGCCTATCCAAGAGCAAAGGGGATCTTTCCATCTTCTAAAGTTTTGTTTGATTTCCTTCTTTAGAGTTCTGTAGTTTTCATTGTATAGATCTTTCACCTCTTTTGTTAAGTTGATTTCCAAGTATCCTATTTTTTTTTGAATCTATTGTAAATGGGGTAGTTTTCCTCATTTCCCTCTTAGAGGATATTTCACTGATATACAGAAATGCCTTTGATTTATGCATGTTGATTTTGTATCCTGCTACATTGCTGAATTCATTTACTAGTTCTAGAAGTATTCTGGTGGAGCTTTTTGGGTTTTCTAGGTATAGAATCATATTGTCAGCAAATAGTGCTAATTTCAGTTCTTCTTTTCCTATACATATCCTTTTTTAACTTTAAACAAATTTTTATTACACAAAGGTTGTCACATAATTGGATATTTCTCTAGTTTGTACACAATTATTCTCCATAGAAAGGCTGCTTCTGAACTTCTCATCTGGTTATGGCAAGCACTAAAATCCTGGTTTTAGCAGGATAGTAGTAAATGCCTTGTGATTTAAGTTGAAAGCAGTGCATTGGTACAAGGCTCTTGCACCCAGTATCAGGAATGTACTAATGTCTTTATTCAAAAATACAAAATAAATTATCTGTAGGCATAGACAATGACAGCAGTAAACCATTATATACTGTCAACTGAAACCAGTAACTGATGGTTATAGTGATTTTATTAAACATCAACCAGCCTTTTCTTCAGTCATTCTCTTCAACTGACTTCTCTGAAGTTATTGGTGAGGAACCTAGCCTTGAGCTTCCTGTCACAGTTCATTAATAATGGTAAAGCACTTTTCTGAGAATTAGAACATGCCACCTCCCATACCACTTCCCATTCCACCCATTGTGCCCATTCCAGGGTCCTTTTCTTCTTTAGGAATTTCTGTGACTATGACTTCTGCTGTACTTAACAGAGAAGCAATACCAGCAGCATCCAGTAAGGCAGTTCTTAAAACCTTTGTTGGACCAATGAGTCCTTTTTCTACCATATTCACAAAATCTCCAAGCATAGCATCATAGCCAACTTCTGAGGAACTCTGCAGAATTTTCTCAACTATCAAAGAGCCTTCAACACCTGCATTCTTAGCAATGGTCATTGCAGGAATTTTAAGTGTTGTTTTTTTTTTTTAATGATTTCTATACCAATTTTCTGATCCTCATTAGCTGGAGTTAGTGAGTCCAAGGCTGGAATGCACCGAAGCAGAGCACATTCCCCCACCCAGAACAATGTCTTCTTCAACGGCAGCTCTTGTAGCATTGAGGGCATCTGTAACTTTGTCTTTCTTTTCATTCACTTCAACGTTACTTGTCCCACCAACCTTCAGCCCAGCTACTCCATCTGAAAGTTTTGCCAGTCGTTCATTCAGTTTTTCCTTTTCATATTCACTATTTGTGGTTTCTAATTGCTCTGTGATTTCTTGAATATGCTTTTCAATTTGAGCTTCATCACCTTTTCCTTTCAAAAGCATGGCATCATCTTTGGTGACAATGACTTCTCCAACTTTTCCTAAATCATGGAGGCTGAACATCTTCAATATTTAGGGTCAAAACCTCCTCACCAAACACTGCACCACCAGTAGCAATAGCCATATCTTTAAGTTGGTTCTTTCTGTTGTCACCAAAACCTGGAGCTTTAACTGCCACAACCTGAAGACCAACTTTTAGCCTATTCAAAACAAGTGTACTTAGAGATTCTCCATCAACATCTTCAGCAATTATGACCAATGGTTTGTGGTGAGCATTGGCAATTTCAAGAGCAGGTACAATGGACTGGATGCTAGAAATTTTCTTTTCACTCAACAGAACATAAGCATCCTGGAATTCACATTTCTGCCTCTTGATGTATTAATAAAGTATGGAGAGATATAGCCTCTATCAAACTTCACGCCTTCAATAATTTCTAATTCATCCTCAAGTGTTTTTCCATCCTTTACTGTGATCACACCCTTTCTTCCAACCTTTTTCATTGCACCAGAAATAATGTTGCCAATTTCTTTGTCTCCATTTGCAGAAATGGTAGCAACCTGAGCAATTTCTTCAGGGGTTGTCACAGGTTTAGACTGCTTCTTGAGTTCAGCAATTACAGCATCAACAGCTAACATCACACCTCTCCTGATTTCCACTGGATTAGCACCTTTGCTAATCTTCTCGAAGCCTTCTTTGGCAATAGAGTGTGCCAGTACAGTAGCAGTGGTGGTGCCATCCCCGGCCTCTTCATTTGTATTATTGGCAACATCTTGAACAAGTTTAGCTCCAATATTTTTTGTATTTTTCTTTAAATCAATTGACTTTGCAACAGTCACACCATCTTTTGTTACTTTGGGACTTCCCCAACTCTGTTCAATAATTACCTTTCTTCCCTTTGGCCCCATTGTAACAGCTACAGCTAAAAGGTCTACACCTTGAAGCATTAAGGCTCAGGCATCTGCACCAAATTTTACATATTTGGCATAAGCCCGAGTGAGATGAGGAGCCAGTCCCCTAGACACTGGTCTCATCTGACGAAGGACTGTGGGTAGTCGAAGCATTTCTGTGGGGCGTCTGGCAGGGAGTGCACGCGGCAAGGCAGACCATCTGTGGCGAGTGAGTGCTACATATCCTTTTAATTTCTTTTGTCTACTTGCTCTGGCCAGGGTTTCAAGAACTATGTTGAATAGAAGTGGTGAAAGAGGGCATCCTTGTCTTATTCCAGTTTTTAGAGGGAATGCCTTCAATTTTTCACACACACACACACACACACACACACACACATATATATATATATATATATATGATGTTAAAATAGTAAAATTTGGAGGGGGAAATAAAAATGAAAGAAGAAAAATGAAAAGAAAAAAAATGGGCATATACAACACCTCTATATTATATTATTCAGAGGACTCAGTCCTCAAAATCCTATTTCATACAAAGTTCTTGGTTTCACATATGTTGGGGGATGTGAGGACCAGAGGATAGAAGGTTAAAAGAGAAAGAGAAAAAAAAATATATTTGAAGGAAGAAACCAGGGTTGTTGCTAGTTTTAGGGATCCATTTCTTTCCTGCTTCTCTTCTCATGCAATAGGGTGGAGTTGTCTGTTATAAGCCTGTGTCTCTGCCCTCAGGATGATGCCAGGATGGGAAGAGTGGTCCTGGTGTAGGGCACCTGGAAGCGGGGGAGTGCCACCTGCCAGTCCCTGCAGGGAGACTGCACCTCACAGGTCTCTTTTTGAGACTGCTTGCTCATATGACTTGAGCGCCCAGTACTATCTCCCTATCTTGCCTGGAGATTTCCCAGTTCCTGGTCTCTCTATTAGGCTCCAAACTATAGCCATGTCTCCCTCTCCCTTAGCAGTTCCCAATTGTGGGACCTCTTACATCTAGGCTCATACCAGGTGGGCGGTACCCTAGTCGCATTGTACACCTGTCCAACTGAGAGCTGTTTTTGTGTTGGGTAGTAACTGTGTTGAGTTATTGCCTCTGGGGAGATGGGGAGTTGGAAACCTGGAACCTGGCCCAATGGAGATCCGATCTGGGAGCTGCCCACCACCAAATATGGCGAGAAAGGTGGTCTCAAGATGGAGGCAGTCTGCTTGCAGCGCTGGGGTGTCTGATGAAGTGAGGGAAGCCGAGTGATGGCCTTATGCTGTGGTTAGGTAGCAGCCGAGTGACCTGCATGGGAGAGGAGTGAAGTCTAAGAGTTCTGCAGAGGTGCTGATAGGTGATTCTGCTAAGTGAGCCGAGCGTGGGCTAGAACTCTGGGCTTTCGGTTTTGGGAGCCAGGAGTCCAGAGTCCTACTTGAATGCTGAGACTCGGAGCCCTGTGCAGGGGTCACAGCACTGGTGATTTCTGCAGAAGTCAATGAATAGGGGTCCTTTAACACTCTCATAGATGCAGTATTCCAACTAGAGATCTGGATCACGGAGTGACACAGAATGCTGCCTCCCTCTGGCCCACTATCTTCCTGGAAATGGTATTTCATTGTTAACATTACATTTACATCTTTGAAGTTATATCTAACAGGTTGCTATAACTTGCTCAAACAAACTGGCTATTGTCCATCTAAAGGTCCTGGAGTGTCGTATTACCAATACTGTAGCTACTATTATTGAGTTTTTGCAAAAGTACTGAATAGATAGATGAACTGGATAATTTAAAGAAAAGAGGTAGGAAACATACATTTCAGAATTGTTCAGCACTTTGAATGTGGACACTTGGTTATGTTTTTTTTTTTTTTTCTGTGTGTTTTTCTATATACTAGGACAATTTGAAAGACTGAAAGATGCCTGGAGTCTGGTTTATAAGAAGAGATACAGAGTCAATAGGCCACACTTAGAATTCACAACCTCCATAGTGATAGAAAACACTCTTATCAATTAAGAAAGGGTAGGATAAGCTACTAGTGTTCTTGAAAAAAGATGTTAATTTAACTCTGTGTGGAAAGAGAATATTTTTTATTCTTTGTTGTTATAGATGTTATATATATGTATCTTTCTTCTTGTGACTTTAAAAATTGGCACAATTGTGAATTTTTCATGAATTTGTTTTTAGGTAAATGCACGTCATACTTGCTATTAGGGCTAAGGAGCTAACTACATTTGGAATAGAACTATATTTGACTTATATTGCAAAAAATTTTGATTAAAATTCTTCTAATAATACTTCACACATTCTACAGCCATCTATATGCTAATATTTTCAACAAATTATCAGATGCTATTTCTACATAACCTTTTTCTCAACAAATGACCTGTCATGTTCATAATGGCCTCAATTTTTGGTGGCAGTTTTAATTTTATCTAGCAAAAAATTGAAGACTCATAAAGAAACTAATTACATAGTTTCACAGTTAATAATATGGTTTCTAGTTTTAAGACTTGTAATGTATAAATTTACCTGGTTAAACTTTCTTGGATCCAAGACTGCTGCTGCTTCTTAAAAAAATAGAAATACTTTAAAAGCAACATAGAAATTTTATATTATAGACATAGAAACATTGAATATTGATTTTTCCATTGGTGTTAGTGACTTTTGAAAGCCTAAACTTCATCTAAATTATGTTTCTATTACACAATACTGTCTTGCTAAGATACCCTCTTTGAAGAATTTTCAGTTCTCCAAAATGTAATCAGAAGAACGACATATCTGTTGGAAAATTTATTTGGGTTATTTACTAACGATATCAGTAGTACTTGTTTGGGATGTTAAAAACATAATTCTTAATGTATTTTATTTTTCTGGCTACTGACCATTGGTGGCAACAGTGCAAGAGAAATTCATGTTGTAGAGAATTATTTCATCTTTATCTAGGGTTATCTTAGCAAATACCCAATTAAAATAAACCGACTAATGATACAAAGCTGACATAATTAATAACGATTTTGTTAAAAATAACTCTGCAAGAACTAGTATTAAAATGCGGAAGGACTTTTATAACTTTTCATTTGATATTATCCTTTGTGAATTGAGAAAGAATTTAAGAAAATTCTTTCAGAAAAGCAATACAATAGGAAAGAGAAGACAAAAAGAAAAGAAGGCCTGAGAGCAAGAGCTTGAGATATTAAAAATATAACACAATAGGGAAACTGAAAAAACAATAATTAGGAAGAAAACATTGGTAAAAAAAAGAAAAATAAGGAGAATAAACCAAAATTAAGAGTGCCCAATAAAAAAAACAAAAAAAAAAAAAAGAAAAAAGAAAGAAAGAAAAAGTTTGGAGCTGCTAAACTCATTAATTTAGATCTAGTGTTATGGTTTAGACAAGAGATGTCCCTCCAAAAGCTAATGTGTGAGCAATACAAGAAAGTTTAGAGGTGAAATGTCTGGGTTACGAGAGTCTTAACTTAATCAATGCATTACTTCCTGATATGGATTAATGGAGTGGTAAGTGTAGGCAGGTAGGGTGTGGCTGGAGGACATAGGTCACCAGGGGTGTGCATTTGGGGCTTATATTTTGTCTGTGGTGAGTGGAACTCTCTCTCTGCTTCCTGGTGCCATGTTTCCAGCTGCCTTCCTCCACCATAATTCTTGCCATGATGTTCTACCTTACCTCAAGCCCTGAGGAATGAAGCCATCTATGGGTTGAGCCTTCTGAAATTGTGAGCCCCAAATAAACTTTTTCTCCTCTAAACTTGTTCTTGGTCACAGTAACAAAAAAAGCTGACCATACCATCTGGTGAACATTTTAACCTATTAAGATCTGAATATTCCTATATTCTTATTTTGAGCATATAAAGACCCTGCCATCATTTATTCCTTAGTAGACGGATTCTGTATTAATATCAAGAAGCCGTTAAGCACATTTTGTCAACTTGTTTTTTGCTTTTCAACTTTATCTGAAAATATACTTTCCTCTCATCTATTCCCTTAATTGCTTTCTTTCATAATTGGTGAATGAATGACTTAAATTTACTCACTGTGTAATGGCTTTGCACTACTTTACATAATTCATATGATTATCCATTCTATTATTTAATTATTTTTCTCATTTTATTTCATAAGGCTTTTGGGGCATAGCTTATGAAAGACATATTCAAAAAAGCTCATGCATATTGTTCTTTAATGTCAAATGACTGTTTCCATTAAACTTAATGATCCTTCAGAGAAATTGACTTTTGAATATAAAAACTATTTTATCATTTTGATTGAAATAGTTTTAATTTGGGCACTCTGTTGGTCACAAAGTACTGAACAGCATACACTCAGTGGGTCTATCATAGAGTAAATTGTGTGTTTTATCATCTGTTCTCATTACTGCTGGTTGACTTTCAAATTTCAGACTTCAACAATGATAATATTACTCAATGACTTTATTCTGTTGATTCAGATATCAACTTTCTAGTCTTTGGAAATTTCAGAAACAAGCCCTATTCCATTCCTTTTCCTCTTTCTTTATGTTTTGTAGTGCTAGGGATCAAATTCAGGGCTTCTTGCTTTCAAAGCAAGCACTCTACCACAGAACCACATCCTGAGCTATCTTTTTAAACAGAGTTTAAAATGCAGTCTGAATATCACATTACTTACACTGCCATAATATTGTAAATGTTGTAATAATCACATTTGATGCTACTAAATTAAATATTCACAACACCAGTAAAAGCTACCAAAATTTAAGTTGTGGCTTTAATAACTCTGTTTTTTTCTGAGCATATATGACTAATTTGTTTAGAAGAAAGAAAGAAAAAATTGCTACTTGAAAATCTGGTTTTGAAGAGACAATTTCTTTGAAAATTTTTGTTTTCATCAAGAAGCAAATTGCCATGTAAATGACTATCTCATGGATCTTGTCACTCTCAAGATTTCATGAGGATGGCAGTGAACCCAAAAGATAATATAAAACCCAACATTTTAAAATTTCTTATTACAGATTCAGTGAACCAGAAATTGTCACTTATTAAAAAGCTTGCATAGAGAGTGGAAGACAAAAATCAATGTATGAGTGGGTTAAGAGATAAAAATGCCATGGAAATTTGGAGTAAGTAAGAGAGATGGAAACGTTGGATTTGTCAAACCTCATCAAGATGCAGACATTTGAGAAAAGATCTGAAGAAA